CGGGGAGCGTGCATGTAGACCCCGAGGTAGAGGCCCAGGGACTGGGAGAAGGCGAGGCGCAGGCGGTGCCCGGTGCCGGCCGCCAGCCGCAGGTCCCTGCTCACCGGCATGAACTCCAGCAGATCCGCCACCATCAGGCACATCTGATCCTGCCAACGGGGGAAAAAGTGCCAGGGCAGCAAGATGGTTAACACTCAGGGCTCAGAAACTGCCCTTCTCCCCTCTTCCTCCTTCCCCTTCCGGTCAAAATCTGTCCAGACTTTTCCGCGAAGGATGCAAATTAAGCCTCCATATGAATACCTGAGCTACTCCTTGGCTTTTCCCACCTCACCTGTGCCCTCTCCCCCCTCACCTGTGCCCTCTCCCCCACCCATCACACGGGCTGCCGGAGCCCAGGCACGTAGGACAAAGCTTCCCCTCCCTCCCACGACACATTCCAGTGCCGCTGAGCCGTGAAAGCGCCGTGCTGCTCCATTAGCTCCGGCACTCAATATCTGGAGCAAGAGGCTTTTATTAACTTCTTGTTGACAAAGACACTTTCATTACTGCTGAAAGCGGGAGAAAATCCATTTGGGATGGCTCCTTGGGCTTCAAAGCGCTCCTGTGTGCCTTCCCCAATGCTCCAGTAGGTCTGGAGATAGCCCTTATCCCAGGGTGAGAGTGGGAAGGAAACCACCCAAACACTGCTACAAACACGCACCGTGACTGCTCTCACACGCTGTCCCAAATCCCAGCGTGGAGAAGCCACAGAGACAATTTAATGGGAGATAAATCCACGCCAAGCACTCATCTGTCACTCCTCCAGCCTCCCTTTGCTCCCCCAGATCCAGGCTCTGCTCACCTTGTAGGACCACATGCGGAGTTTGTGGTCCTGGCAGAGGGCGAAGAGGAAGGCGTCGTGATCCAGGCAGTGCACGGAGAGGCTGACGGGCACATCCGACAGGCCGCCGTCGCCCCTGGAGAACCAGACTTTACATCAACAGCTTAAAAGAAAATTCCACACCCCTGGAAGTGTCCAAGGCCAGGCTGGACGGGGCTTGGAGCAACCTGGGCTAGTGGAAGGTGTCCCTGCCCGTGGCAGGGGGTGGCACTGGGTGGTCTTTAAGGTCCCTTCTAACCCAAACCACTCCAGGATTCCATGAATCTAAAATCAAGGCAGGTGCACAGATCTGAGGCACTGGGGTTCCACGATTGTGGATTTAAATCCAAATAAACCAGTGGGGTGAGACCAGAAGAAGGTAATGTTTCAGCATCCGTGGAGCAGAGAATCCTACCACGCCAGTAACACCCAAGCATGGACCCCATCGGCACCAGGCAACGCCCCTCCCACTTCCAAGGAAAAGGCCCTAGGATTTGGCTGTGCACTCTAAGCCACCCAAACAATCCCAGTCCTAAAGATCCCAATCCACCACGGAGCATCCATGTGATCCCCCACGTAACCTCTGCCCATCAGGAACAACCTGACACCTCAGCACAAGGGCAGCGTAATCCCTAATCCGCGCTGGCTGCCGGCCACATCCTGGGCAAATCCTCGGAGGCCAATTACTAGAGAGAACATATTCACAGACACACAGAACCAGCAGGACCCCACTAATCCAGCATTCCGCTCCCAACTTCCGTACTCTGACAGCTCCCGTGACCCAGTTAACTTTTTCGGGCGGAGTATTTATGGGTGCCCGTGTGACTCGAGCTAAAAATTCCAGGTGAGGGGATCCAAAAGCCAAAATTAGCTCCGTTTATCCGTCTCCAGACATTTACCTGATGGCAGTCGGCATCCAGCCAGTGAGGAAACGCTGCACCACCGAGCTCTGCTTCAATTCCACGATGGAAACGCTTCCTTTGGAAACAAAAGGGACGCCGAAAATCAAAACTAAATGAAATTCCAAGCTGGGAGAGGGAGTGTAGGTCCCAGTGCTCACCTGGAGCATCGGGAGGAGGCAGCTTAAGGACAAAGATCCCTCCTGAGGCAGAGGGAAGGGCAAAGAGAGCCTCCCCCTCGCTGCTCAGCCAGGCTGCGGAGGCCACGGAGTTGGGAGCCAGCCCTGGCACACTGGGAATCACGTAGTAATTGGAGGGGTCTCTGATGTGGATTTTGCTGATATCCGTGAACACGGACTGGACTTGGCTCTCCGTGATCAGCTCCTGGAGGGAAACAAGAGCAAACAGCCCCAAGTTGTGCACGGCAGGTTTAGGGTGGAGATCAGGGAAAATTCCTTCGTGGAAAGGGTTATCAGGCATTGGAAAAAGCTCCAGTGCTGGAGTTCCCATCCCACGTGGATGTGGCACTTGGGCACTTGGCAGTGCTGGGGGAACGGCTGGACTCCCTGATCCCAGAGGGTTTTTCCAACCTCACGGATTCCATGAAACAGCAGCTCCTAAGCACATATACCCAAGGCACAGAAAAGAAACGCCAGACACCCGTGGAATGGCAACTGCTCCTTGATAAAAAGGATTCTTCCAGTAAAAAAAGTTTTCGGGACAGCTCACAGCAAACCGCTGGTGACAAATCCCAGGAGGAGCAGCTCTGCCACAGCACAGGATGATCCCTTGGGAAAGCTCTCCAGAGCTCTAAAAGCAGGAGAGAAGCTCTCCAAGAGCTATCTCTCCAAGAGAGAAGAGGGACCTGGCAAGAAGCAAAGTCAGAGCGAGTGCAGAGAATCATGGAATCCTGGAATGACTTGGCTTGGAAGGGACCTTAAGGATCATCCAGTCCCAACCCACATCCATGGAAACATGGTAAATGTGGAAGATGGATCCTAGGCAGGATTTATATAACACGACACACAGACTCCAATCCACCCAACACCCATACACACCCTCCTCAGCCAGGGAAAAAAACTTGAAAGGGCTCTGGAAAAGCCAGGGCTCATTCCCAGCAGCAGCCCAACTCCGGTGCCACTGCAGTCCACGCGACACAGGCTGGACACTTGGACGGTTCCCGAAAGCAAAGCGCGGCTGAATTCCCGAAAAAATATCCCCCTTT